AGACTTCTCCGTTAAATATCCCAATTTAACCCTTTGCACTCGAAAGTTTTCCAATGGAAATGTTCTACATTTTCTGACGAGATATAGGTGATATCGTTTAAAACTAATTTAACGATAATTCATAGATAAATTAAGCAACAGAGGTGTTTTAACTATTTCACGTAGCAATGCAAAATTTAATCTGAAATATTAAATATTTTGAGTTTTTCAATAAAATAATAAGTTATATTCAAGTTTCTCATTTCTATATATTTTGATATTGCTTCTGTTTTCACTGCTTTGTAACATATCCCGCCGACCATATATCCATTAAAAATATTTTCTTACAAACATTGGCGTGTACATGTGGTACACGTGGCACAAAACGTGTTAATTACAAAATTCACATTTCAAACAACTTCATACACCTTCAAACTTCACTCGAAGAAATCAATCTAGAATGAAACGAAGGTATTTCCTGCTTTCCGAAATAAGACTCGCAGTATTTCGCTCGAAGTTTATGAACACGTGTACGCAATTCGCAAGAAACAAGATTCGGCTCACTCCTCGCCGGAAGTTCAATATTTCTCGGAGGTTTAAGGGAACAAGCCGGCGAGCAATTTTCACGCAGTGTTTATTGCTTCGCTCCTTTCAGCGGCGCCATTTTGCGCGGGCCTCGGTAAATCATCGGCGACGTTCCACCATCCAGCGACCCAGAAATGAAAGTATTCTGTCTCGGTCGCGATCGTGCTTTATTTCGTGTATTAAGACCGGCTCGTGAACCGCGCCCAGACGTTGTTTGTCGTTCCGAGGCTCCGTCAGCTCGACGGGCCGACGCCAGTTACCAGATCCATCCGGAGTTCACCGGATATACCGACTGGATATTCCTTCCTCCGTGGCCTCGGCGCCCGAGTAGCTTCCCTGGTTCTACGTTAAATCACTGCCATCGCTGTTGTCAGTGCTGACCTAAAGTTATGGCATTCGACGCGAGAAACGCGACGTGTTTGTTAAAACGTGTACGCCGTTCCCTCGCCGGGCAGAATAATTTCCGTGCCTCGTGGAACGATCTATTCGATGCCCAGTTCCGTCGTGTTTTATACGCTTCCATCAGGCTTCATTTGGTTTGATGTGATTGCGTCTGGTATTGTTTAGGGACTGATGGTATCATGATTTCCCTTTTACGAAACTGCGAGAGGACGTATTGCTGGAAGCGTAACAAATGATAAAAGAGTAGTTTCGTCACATTTCATCGTGTTTCAAGCAGTTTGAGTAGGTTTGATGTGGTTTGACATGAACTTTTCTAATTTCTCTCGATATTGTCTGACTCTAGGAAGCTTCAACAATTGTTAACTTAACCAGTATTTTCGACTATCGTAAAAGTCTGCGTGCTTCGATCTATCTTGAAACGTCTTCATACTCTTTCAAGGATCACTGCAAGTTGTATTCCACGATATGTTGGAGGAACAGCGAATGTCTCCGGAGATTAAGGATCTATCTTCATCCTTTTCAGCTTGTTCCAAATAAACTGGCCGCTTTCGTTCTTTGTAAAAGTTTCGTCACATTTCATCATGTTTCAAGCTGTTTGAGTAGGTTTGATGTGGTTTGAAATGAACTTTTCTAATTTCTGTCGATACTGTCTAACTCTAGGAAGCTTCAACAATTGTTTAATGGTAGTTAGACGTTCGTATAGCTCTAATAGACCCTTGGAAGTATCCAATGCAAACTAGAACGAATCTTTTGAACTTAACCAGTATTTTCGACTATCATAAAGTGTCTGCGTTCTTCGATCTATCTCGAAACGTCTTCATACTCTTTCAAGGATCACTGCAAGTTGCATTCCACGATATGTTGGAGGAGCAGCGAACGTCCCCGGAGACCGAGGATCTATCTTCATCCTTCGCGGCTTGTTCCAAATAAACTGGCCGCTCTCGTTCTTCGTAAAAGTTGACACTCGCGGGGTACACACGCGGTTCCGCAACACACCTGAATACACCGTGAAAGAGTCGCGTGCACCGGGGGAGTTCTGGGAACTCTTATCAGGGGAACGGTTCCGCTCTACTCGGAAGCCCTACGCGAACTTTCTTCTGTCGCATAATAATTCAACCGTATTCATATTCATGCATGCCGCATGCATATTCACAATAAATTTCCCCGCGGAACCGGCGCGGTAGAAAGTGTAAATTATTTCTCGGCAAATTGAAAGCTGCTCGGAGCGTAGCCGGCGGATCGCTGCCGGGCAAACGTGCAGCGAATCGGTTCTTCCCCGACGCCCGGGCACTGTCGATTTCAACGAACCTAGGTGTCGGATTCGTTGATCCGTCAGGGATCTTGTTCCTCGTGTTCCTAATGCTCTTTCAGTCCTACCGACATTGCCAGGAAATTGATGAATCAAGGATTAAACGATTGGAATTGTCGACCTCGATAGACGATTCTACACTTTTCGAGGAAATCTAGGATTTCTACCTTTTAATCCGTACAAACGTATAACTTCCGATCTATAAAAATGTATAGCTTCCGCACACAGATTTAGAACTTGAACAAAAATAAAAATTGCTACGAACTTGTAACAATTTGTATAAACGAACAAATAACCGGTAAAAAATCTCTGTCGTTAAAGGTTGAGTTTCATCGAATGTTCGAAATAAAAACACCATCTAACGTTTTCGGGTTGTATAAAAGTCGACCGGTCTGTCACAGTAAATTCACACTTTATCCTGTCTATCCTATAAGCCATCAGGGCAAACAGACAACAAAGGTTCGCGACTATCCATTCGAATAATCCCGCAGTCATCGGGCAAAGTTCACTGTCGGAAGCTAGCTGTGCTTTTCTGGAAGCTGGGCGGGGATCGAACCCGACAAAAACCTACCCTTAAAAGCTTGATGAGATGATCTTTCATTGCCCTTCCTTCTTTTTTTACCCTCGCCGTAGGGCTCGCACTGCCATCTTCCTTTTTTTCCGCCCCGTGTTCCTGTTTTTCTCCGGGACACACAACGACTAAAGTATCTCGCCTCGAATGCTACCGAACTTTTCTCCCGGCATATAGGTGATCGCTGGTCTCCGGGATCCAATAAATCGCTGGTGTTCTTCCACCCTCGAGCGTACTCTCTGTCCTACTCTCGTTACTGGCTTATTTGCGCTCCGCCCCCTCTTTTGCTTGCTTCTTTCTCTTTTCCTCTCTTTTCCGCTTATTTTCCCTCTCGTTCTCTTTTCGTCTTCTTTCCTGCTGGATCTTTCTCTCTGTTGTCTTCTCTTTTCTTTTCTTTTTTCTATCTTCATCTTCTCTCTCCTTCTCTTA